TAGTAGCACCAGTAGTAGTAGCAGCAGTAGTAATCGTAGTAGAAGCAGAAACTAGTAGCAGTTATAGTAGTCGTCGTTGTGGTAGCCGTTGCCGTAGTAGTCGTCGTCGATCTTCCAGTCCCGAAACGACATGGCATGCTTAAGGAAGCCAAGCTTCGTGCCAGTGGCTGTTCTTTCTTCTTCCCGGCCTCGAAATCCTTCAGATGTCTTGTCTTCTTACAGGTCCTATTTCCTCACATGCTCGCGTACAGACTGCCCCGCAGAGGTCCTGCTGATAGTCCGTGTTGATCTTTGCAAGAGCGCGCTCCTGATCTGTTTCACTACAGTCACTACAGGTGCTTTACAGCTCTTGGAGATCTAGCCTAGCTTAGAGAAGATCACGGCGACCTTGCTTTTGATAGAGGCCACCAGGAGCCCGAAGTGGGTGCCAACTTCAGCACCATCTTCGTGCTGCAACCGGTAGAGCGACGCATCCTTCGCAAGTTGCCGTGGCCCAACACCCCAACCAACAATCATTCCGAACCCCTATAACTGCCAGTTTAGACCGTTGTCCAGCCGCAGCTTCTCGTCGAACTCCCGAACTTCTTTGGCGCTGATGTTGTTCAAGTCTGCAACCAATTGGCTGAGCTGCCTTGCAAGCCAGTTGGTTGCAGGGTGTAGTGCAGGGTTTGCAGCAAACTCTGGGCTGCGACCATCCACCAGAATTCACAGCGAAGAGATGAAGACTGACGGGAAACACAGCAGACTGTACCTGCAAGAGCTACCATGAAGTTAATGCTATAAATGAATCTACTGACCTACGTCTGATTAACTCATTATGCAGACGTCATCGGCCCAAGGAACATAACCGCTTAAAAATAAGTACCGCCGCCGACGCTGCCACCGCCACTGCCGCTACCACCGCCACCAGAGTCGCCATCTGCATCCTCAGCATCGACATCACCATCATCATCATCAAAAGCGCCAGCATACCTGACATAACCATCATCATGTTGTTCTCGTCATCACCATCAACAGCAGCGGCATCGTCCGTAGCACCAGCACGCCTGGCCTCTTCCTCCTCCTCGCCTTCCTCCTCAACAGCATCATGATGTTCTCTTGCCGTCACATGTACGACAGTTCGTGGTCGTCATCATGTCCATCCTCTTTTTGCCGCTTCATTTTCCGTCTTATTTGTGGCATCAACACAACCACGAGAATGAAGATCACTCCAGTCATCTTCGTCTTCCTCTTCCTCACCAAGACAACCTCAAGCTCGAACCATCATCACATCCAAGTTGCCCTTTGAAGTCTGCCCGCAGCCAGCTTGCATACGTCCACAAAGCATCCACCGGCGACTTCTTGATCTTTCCACCCTCCGAAACAAAGCTGAAACAGCGCAGGATATCGGCTCTAGTAGAGTTTCCGGGCCCGGAGAAATGTGTGTGTGTGTGTGTGCTCAGGAGTTGAAGCTGGGCTCTGCGGTTGCTGTCGCTACAGCATGGAGGTTTCGCCACAACATCGGGCGAGAGAGAGAGAGAGAGAGTGAAAGTGAGAGTGAGAGTGAGAGTGAGAGAGGGGCCGCCTCCGGCTTCGTTTCAGTCTCCTCCCTGTCGCAATAATGCTCCTCCAAGGGTGGCTGCACTGCCTCGCCATCTTGGGATGGAATCCTGGGCGGGGCGTTATAGCACTCTTAGAGGCTGGTCAAGGCATCGGTCAGCAAAAGAAAGATGTCCAAAACCGTGCCCGGTCTCTTCTCCAGCTTCTCCATCCGTGTGCCACCGTCGTCCTCCTGCGCGCAGTAGCAGTACCCCACACACCGAACTAAGAAAACACCTACAATCCCTAAACCTAGCAAGCTTAAGGATCTCTGTCACACTTTTTGCTCCGTGTCCTGGTACACTTGGCGCTGGTCCTCAAACCACCCAGCCAGGTTGCTTGCCTCTTCCTCTGCCAAATCCTTCATCTCCTGGTAGAATTACACTGTAGGATCGAGAAGAATAAGGCTGCATCCCCTGCGCAACACCTTGCTTCAACTCAACTGTTGGACAAGGTCCAGATAGAGTGTCTAGGGTTTTGCAGTCTAGGCTCTAGGTCGTTAGGGTGTATAAGTGGCTCATTAGAGTAGGTCTAACGCACGCACGAGACCCAGACCCCTTTTCAACACAGACTCCGCCTGAAAGATCTCTGTTGCATCGACCTGTCTACAAGGCCAGAGCATTTCAATCTTGCGCAGCTTGACCACTGTTTGATTTTGCGGACTTAGGGCAACTGTCTGTAGGATGAGGTTTATATCATACACTGGAAATTAGGGAATGTTCCCATGCATGTGACGAGCCTTGCGGCGATCCAAAGCCGCGAAGAGCTTGCGGTGCAGGCTTTGCATTCTGCTCCGCAGGCTCTGGTTGTCCAGGCGCCTCTTCAGTTGAGCCTGGCAAAACGAGATTGCTCGCCTTACCTTCGTGAAGCTAGGGATCCTGTGCTCAATGCAGACACAATGCAGACTCAATGCATGTCACCCCTTCGCAGACAAGCACGGTCCTTCTTCTCATCGAGCTCTTTCCGGCGCCGTGCATCGCCAGTCAGCATCAAGCCGTGTCCTTGGACTGGGGACGGTGTCGTGGCATTGCAGTTACATGGCACAATTAGATTAATGACTTGCACCTTCGCGCCACGTGCCTCTGCATGGCGCTGCCTAGAGCCTCCAGATGCTCCAACTTGACCAAGCATCGATTGAGGAAGACATCGAAGAAGACGTAGAGTATGCCACCCGCTGACCAAATCAATACGAACAGGAGCCGCCACATCCTCGGCGTTGGCCACATGAAGGGAATTCTGCCCAATTCCGCATGCTTCGTCTCTATTGCCGCAGATTCACACCGGCGCTGCCCGATGCTTCTGTTCAATTGGCTGCTCGCGACTTGGTCGTTACCGATGCTGTGCTAGCTGGCTTGGCTTGTTTAGCGCCTGCTGGTCTTGCAAAACTCATTCACCCACGGCAAAGCAAAATACTCAGACTCTGTTTTAAACTGTGCTCAGGGCACGGTAGGAAACAGAACTGAACAAGCATGACCCCCACCTATTTCAGTGCGATGCATAAAGCAAGCATCATCTTCTCCTCTGGACCAACGAACTCCTCCAGGTTCGGGCGCTGCTTCGCCTCCTGCTCTTGAACTGCACGCCGAATGACCAAGAGTACGCTCACGGCTCCGATCATCACCACCGGCCAAAGGCCACAACCCAGCATCCACAAGAACATGCGCAGGGAGAGTGCCTCACAGAGTTGTTCAATTCAACAATGAAAAAACCCAAGCCGCTTTCCCTAATGGGCTTGTACGCCACCAAAGGCCCAAACCTTTTTTCAGACTCGACTTCTGAGGCCTTCTCGGTGTAGAGGAGCTTGAGACCCTGGACTGCCGAGATGGTGGCGACGAGGCAGGCAAGCAAGGAGAGCATGAGGGCGTTCGTGTGGTGCACTTGCATAGCCACGTTCTGGTGTTCCACTTTGGGGCAAACTTTGCTGCCACTATGAGCTTCGCACAGCTCGTCGGCTGCATCGTTGAAGTATACCAGGCCTCTGATGGTGCCCGTTGTGTGGACCGGCAGGATGCCCAAAGCCTCAGGCGTCGAAATCTCGAAGCACCAAGGGTCGGGTTGCTTAGAGTCCGAGGTTTGGCTTATAGGACGTAGTCGGGGTCCACGGGCCCACCTCTGGAGAGACCTTGGACTTGGGACTAGACATCTGAGGCCTGCCACACAGACTCTCGACGCTAGGGCCTGGGACGCTGCCTTAGGGTGGAGTGGGCATGCAAGCAGCATTCAGTGCCGCCGCTTGAAACTGGAGGATCCTATCTAGTTTCATGTTAGTGTGGAGAGCTGGCCGTGAGCATGCAAGTCCAAGTAGCGTTGTCCGTGATGAAGACGTCCTTCAAGTTCACGGTCGAGGACTTCAGCAAGAGTCCCGCGGCCAGGTTCGTCATACGCACGTCAGTCGCTTCTAAATGCGAAGACTTCAAAACAATACCGTTGCTTTGCTTGTGCTTTCCCAGCATATCTACCGCACTCATGTTTAGAGTAGAGCCCCGGGCTACGACTCCAACGTTACACTCTCGGCATGTCATGCCGGAGATGTCCGCGATCACCTGGTCCATGACCATCCCGACTCCCAACATGTTGCTCATAGAAACGTCACGAAGCTGAACAAGACCACGCCCGTTCTCGTCCCTGCTTTGCAGGCTGAGGCCGGTAAGCGTGACCTCCTCCATCGTGACGCCGTGCATGGCTAGCTTCCAGTGGTTCGCGTCGATTTTGACCTTGCAGGTGCGACCGCGGGTTGATTGAGAACCACCTGACAAATTTGCATCAGCTTAAGTTCCCGGCAACACTCCACACCCTCCGAAACTTGACCATGGAGAAAGTCAAATCCAGCGTAGGGAGACCTGCGATGTCACGTCATATCACGTCCTCCGACGCACAGACTACTCAAAATGTGGGGAGCCTGGGACGTATAGCAGAAGGACAGGCCAAGAACAACAGTGGCAGTACGTGGCGGGCAGCTGAAGCTTGCGGGGTTTATGGGGTTTTCCAGGGCTGTGCCAAAAGGTCTTGGCATGCCACTGACACAGTTTGCCGAATGTCGCCTGCAATGACAGAACCGAATCGAAGTAGATCGAAGAACGGTAGGTGGACATCGTAGACTTCCATGTCGTGCATTTCCACACGCCAACCGCTGCCAAGACATAAGATCGCGGTCTGCATGGAGGAACCGGCCATAGTGAGGTAAGATTCGTCCGTTGCGTGCCAGGCATTAGCTTGAATGCAGTATCCGTGGCAGGCGCCGAAATGCGACTTCTGCATCCGGTTGTGGGAACCCAACAAGGCCAAGTGGTACTTCCCGATCATGCTGGAGTTTACCATGCTGAGGTTCCCTGCCGAATGGACGCTACAGTTCGCAAGCGTCGAGTTTGCAATCTTAAGGGTCAGCTCACTGCGCACATCCTGATCATTTGAACTCGGTGCTTGGAACATGATTGTGGAGTCGACGATCGCGACATTGGAACCGCAGACATCTATTCTGGTCGGAATCAGGACCGAGCGTTGGATTGTGAGAGAACGGAAGCATTGGCCTGAAAAGAAGAACCGTTCGGGAGGTGAGTCGGCCACGGAGCCGCCAGTTTGGTGAAGTGCTTCCACTGCCACATCTGTCAAACTCAGAATCAGATAGCGCAAATCCTGGAACAAACTCTGCGACAGCTGGAGGCTCTTCAGCATGAGCTCAGACCTTGCATGTTGCAGCGAGCGCGCCATGATCTTAACAGGAGAGTAACCGTAGCCCCTTAGCCACCCCTGTTCGAAGCAGTTACACGCTGCCCAAGGCTTCAGGCAAGGTTGCTCGACATTGCCGTCACTGGCGTTGCCATACACTTCCAATAATTCCACCTTCGTGCCCGGCTCACCCTGCAACTCCAGCGTGGCACCGGGTGGCAGCACAAAGGATACATTGCTGTAGACCTCAGAAATCGGCTGGAACTTTCCGTAAGACCTAGGCGCGCCCCGCACCGATGACACAGTCTGAACTTGCAATTGTAGCTCCGATGAACTACCATCTTCATGCAGAGGAATTGAGAAGAAGGTTTGGGGCCAGGGCACTTAAAAGACACACTAGAGACAGGGCCAAGCCGCCCCTGGAAGGAGATGCACTCGAAGGGGCTCTAATTCGATGGACCCAAGCACGCTGGACCAGTTCTCAGGCGAAGCCAAAATCCTGAACATCAACAGGAGGCCAGGCGGCGAAGCGAAAACAGCAGGCGAAACCTGGTGCAAACAACCCCAAGGTGGGCTTCAGGCCACATCTTCGCAAGAAGCGCTGTCGCCGAGAGTCGTGGGTGCAGGCTCTTCGATTTCCTCGTCGAGTTGCACGGCGAAGTTCTGAGACTCTCGGTGGGCTTGCACCAGGAACGAAGTCAGAAGAAGCCAGAATCTCATGGCCTCCACGCTCGAGTAAGAATAACAGAAACATGAAGATCTCAAGGCCGCGACTCGAACAATCTTTCACTCGGCCTCTCGTCAGCGTGCTCGACGGGCTGCCATCCACCAGGGAGGAGAATACACAAAGATCCTCGGTTGGCGCAAGGGCCGTGGGATGGCTGCAAGCATCGGCCTCTCTGGTGTCCTAGCCCTTCCGGACAAGAGGCACAAGGAAAGGATAGTTCAGACACAGGGAAATGAGCTCATAGCCAGGCCGGCTACCGAACGAGCCAAACAGCCAAAATAGCACGATCCGTCAATCTTCATGCGCAGAATGGCAGAGGAAGGGCAGAAGTTCGAAAACGAAGGATACTGACACTCTGATTTCTCTTCATGCTTCCATTAAAGACGTGAGTAGGACCAGCATTCAGGCTTAATACCCAACTGGATATAGCCTAGTACGGAAGAGTGAGTTGCACCAGCAGCAACTCCCAACTCCCGGCAGAAGGCGCGCAGCAAGCCTTGCAAAGTAGCCAGATGGTTTCGGAACCACACCTGTGAGCTGCAACATTGAGGGGTTCCACTTCAAACTTCAGGGATCTGCGCCACAGCCTTTCCACCGAAAGCTGATCGAGCTTCTGCTATGATTTTCGGACCGCTGGCAAAACTGGGATTAGTTATCAGGGCGTGCCGGTGTCAAGGAGAGTGAAAGGCATAACGTGCTCCACCATTTCTCTCGCCACTACCGCACTGTTCTGTACAGCCGCATGCCGCAGCTAGGCTGTGTGAAACAACCCAGAGAACGTCAGGTACCTTAACACGGTAATCATAATGCATTGGCCTCAAGCTCGTGTAGGAAGGAACATACATGCAATTGTCAACGAGCATGATCTCTTGCACAGCAAGTGCCCCAGCCACTATGCAGCCATACTACCGTGAACCTTACAAATCATGTAAGTCCGAAGTCCAACCCCATGAAAAATTAATGAAAGCATCACCCCCCCCCCCCCAAAGTGTCCAACACTTCAAGGGTTGCTGCTTGGGGCTCTAGGTTTCGGGCTTTAGCATCAAGCTTGGGGCTTTTAGGGTTTAGATCATGTAAGCTTTAGATTTCGGATGATTAGGGTCTCGCGTTCAACTTTTAGTGTAGGCTGGGAGGCTCTCGCCGCTGGTGCCACGGGTTCTCACTTGCACCTAAACGCCGACTCGATCGTCAAGTCAGGCTTAACAGCTGCACGCTAGATCTGCCGCGAAAATCGACTTGGCCGTGAAGGCCTCAGAATCTTGACCTCAGCGTCACGAGGGGACCAAGGTGAGGGTATTGGTTTAGCAGTGCGTACAAAGCTGGCCGACAAGACACGCGTGCATGGCCTCCTCAAGCAAAAATCGGCTTGTCCAAGAGCTCATCCTCGTTCTTTGCTCGAGCCACATCGTAGTAAGCCACATCGCAGTACATGTGCTGTAGGGATGTCGCCTCAATCGGTCATGCACAATCTCTGGCCCATTCTGTTTCTGCCCCAAAACAAGAATTTGGACTCGGAATTGGTGCTAAGTCCTTATCAGACAAAGCAACCCTAAACCCTAAACCCTCAACAGCCGGACTGAAGGATTCTAGCCGGAGGTCTGGGGTTTAGGGTTAGGGTTTAGGGTTTAGGGTTCAGGGGTATTTTGGCAGTTCTCGTAAACCACCACGCTTTCGACACGGCCATTTAGGAGAACCTGGCACCACTCCCGAAAGGAGGCCCTTACATCCAGCCGTCTGCAGCACGCAGCTCCAAAAGCATGAAGCCTTCTGGACTGCCAGTACTGTTATTATAGAAGTCATTATTACGACTAAACAAGCAGTATTGTACAGTACTGAACCCTAAACCTTTCTTTTGCGCTGTATCCGGAGGCTCCCCGAAACCTCCAGATCTTGGGCTTGTTATGCCCAAAAGACTCCACTGTCCCGTAATCTTCAGAGTCTTACATATAAGGGGTGGTTGTAGGAAGCACACCAGTAGATCTTGTTAGGATGTTCTTTTTCGGTAAGTGATACTGCAAGTTCAATTACTCAGGGAGAGATATATGTATATATAGTAGTACAATATAGTATGATAGTGTATATTCTGACGTCGCCCAGCAATATCTCGGCGCCTTTGCACACTGCCGTGCTGCACTCTCCCACGAATTTAAAGCCGTGCAGGCGACGGATGCGCCAGTTCCCGAACTTGCTGATTTGCAGTGGTATAGGGGGTTTCGGGGCACTGGGAGATGGAGGGCTTCGCAGCATGGCACAAAGAGCGCACGAAAGGTACTGTAATCTCTGCAGGCACGGACCTACCTGCCTGCTTACGCAGTTCCCGGCCCTCCAGTCCCCACCCCGAGCCCTCCCAATGCAGCCCAACGGCCGTCAGGTACTCCTGCATGAGGAACTGCACTTCACCGATCTGCTTCATTCCTTGCTTCTCCACCCAGAAGTTCACGAGAATGTTGGCTCGCTCCTGTCAAGGCATGGGCCGCAGGGCAGAGATGCTTGATGTAGAGCAGGACTCAGCTGGAACTCACATCCCAAGGCCCGCCTCCGCCTTCAGCGTCTCATTAGCAAACGTTTTCTTCACTCGCACGATCTTGAAGCACTTCTTCAGGGCAGGTCT